ATTACCTCCATTTGACGAAATTCGAAAAATGTCAAAAATTTGAAATTGCGCCAAAAATGACAAAAAATTTAAAAAATTCCGGACCTTTTTGTCAGTACTTCCGGACCTTTTTGTCAGTACTTCCGGACCGCCCTTAAAAAATCGGTACTATTTCCGGACTTTCCGGAAATTCCGGACTTGTAGACACTCTGCTTTTATTGCTAAAAGCTCACCTTACGCAGCAATTGCTTCAGTGACGATAATCATTTTTTGTTTAAGCAGAGGACGCGTTGTGAATAATAATTTCCGGAGGGATGTATAATAATCGAGCATAACAAAAGTAACGATGACGTTAGGTCCGTTAACAGTGTATGTCACTCCTATACTTAGCGCACTCTGCGACGCCCAGACGCCACATGTGCCACTCTTCCTAAAGGTTAGCGGGCAACTGACAACGCAACATCTCTTTCATTAATTACATTAGATTATTCCAAATTCATCTGACTAGTAAGAAATTAGCGTTCTGTAGATATTCGAACTTTCAGATTGCCAACAAACCACAGGCTATTGAAGTCAAATCTTGCGCTGGACTATAATTTTAGTGCTCTTGAAAATAGGAAATTTCTTGAGGTGACGAACAACAATGTGTAAAAACTTGGGAGGCATTAAGCAAAGGGGTGGAACATTTTAGAGAGGAACCGAAAAAGTTCGTTCTCAATGGCCTATTTGACCTACGTCTTTTGTTTTTGCTGAGGCGAGAAGTTTTAATTTTGACTCTGAACAGAAAGTTCTCGCTTACACTGAAGTCGATTTAAAAATATTTCAACGCGTTCGATCAGATTGGCGTTTCCAAGTACGTTCCAAACTTTAGACAAATTCGTGAACAGTTCTGGTTTTCTTCCCTTTTCTTCCTCTATAAATCGGTCGACTATTTTCAGAGCACAGAATGTCGCACTCAAGACGGTCTCAACTCCGAGTAAAAAAATTCCTTACCTCCAGCAAAATTCCCAGACTATTTCCTGGTTTCCAGGTTTTCCAAATTTTCCAAACGCATAGAATTGCCGCAGAATTTAGAAAAAAAACCCCGACATTTCCCCGACACATCTTGGTAAAATTCCCTGACAATTGAAGATATGCCAGACGATAGGAAAGACATAATTTGAAATAGTTATCAGGCAAAATTTGTGGTTCGGAACGCCAATCTTATTTCAGAAAGTGATTAAAGGTGGCTTAACAATTTTCCCTGACTTCTTAAAATTCACTGATATTTCCCGGGTTTCCCCGACTTCTTAAAATTCCCTGATATTTCCCAGTTGTCCCTGACTTTTTAAAATTCACTGATATTTCCCGGGTTTCCCGATTTCTTCAAATTCCCTGATATTTCCCAGTTCTCCCTGACTTCTTAAAATTCCCTGATATTTCCCGGTTTTCCCTGACTGAGGCAACCCTGCCTATCCGATGTATTCTAAATATGTGAGCTTTTGATACAAAATAATATCCTGGGATTCGTGAATTTTCACTCTGTCTGTTCTTGTGATCCATCTGAAATGGGACGTCTGGATAGCGGCAACGCCGTGGGCCTGTGGGCCCCGATGGGCCGTATGACGCCACGCCGCGCCGGGTCGAGCTGCGGGCCCGTGCGCGCACCGTAAATTGCTAATGACAACTGGATTCCTGCACATTTTCAACTTCCATCTCAGTTTTTCAGTCCACATTCAAGCGCAACCATTTTCTCGCTCTCGCACCGCTTGTCATCTTCAGTTAGATCCCATTTTTCCACGTCCATCCCCTCAACTTTCATCTTTCATCCGAGCCAATGTCAAGAGACTTTCATACACGAAGGCGGGCAGCGTGGGAATTTTTTCTACCTCTCGTCACGTAGGATTCTGGTAAAGAGCATTCCAGTTTCCTCCGATCGTAAATTCGAGGGGGAAACTCGAGACACTCGCTGAATTTCAGCCAAATTCTGGAATCATGCCCTATTATGTCAAAAATTTCCCTGATAAAATTATTTCGAAAAAGTGGGTCCTAGATTTCTTTTATTCTAAATTTCAAATTCCTTTAGGCGGTTTTCAGGAGCACGAAGAAAAATTCGAAGTGAAAAAGACTGGAGTTTTCTTTTTAAAGGGTATGCTTTCATAAGTATACTTCTTTTGGAACAAATCCCCGAAGTCCCTTCATTGCACAGGATTAGGCCAATATTAAGAGATACTCGACGTGGTTCACATTTTAGGAGGGATCGAGCAGAACATAATATAAATTCCCATAGCATATTTCATAGGCGGATCCAGACGCTTCGAGCGGGGGAGGGGGGCAGGTCTGGAGAGCTTCCTCCAGAGAATTTTCGAAATTTAAAAGAGTCTAAAGAGCAGTTTGCGGTGACTTTGTCAACGACAATTAGCGCGTATTTAAGAGTGTTGAAGCCAGTATGCCAAAAAGTCGTGAGCATTTTAAACATAGAATCTTAGTTTACTTTTCTAACCTTGCGTTTAAGTCTCCAAATTTTATTACTAAGTACCTTTATTTTGCTGTATTTAGTGTGACTTTTGACCTTAAAAAATAGCCTCAATCTTCAGATAGCTTATAGCCTTGAGACAAGTGAACAACGCTCACTCTGTCTTCCTTTGAAAAAGGAAATAATACAAATCATCGGAACTTGAAAATTATGTCAACAGAGTATCTGAACTGCACTGGAAAAAAAAAAGAAAAAAAAAAAAAAAAAAAAAAAAAAATTTGTGTTTATATGCGCCATGCTACGTTTCGAAATTTCCGCCAACACACTGGAAAAAAAAACACATTGGATCTAGAGTCCAGACTCTTGAAAACATTGACAAGAAAAAATACTCTTGATTCAATCGGATTTTTGCTGGAATCAGAACGAAATCCGCTTAAATTAAAAGGCTTGGTTCTTGATTTAAGCTAGATTCTGATTGAATCAAGAGTACTTTTTCTTGTCGATGTTTTTAAGAGTCTGGACTCTAAATCCAATGTGTTTTTTTCCCAGTGTGCCTAATTTTAAGACTGTGAGGAAAAACAATTTATCTCAAATACACTTCCAACAGTTCATATTAAACAGTGGGGAAAATGCTGCACTGGAAAAAAAAAGAATCTTAAATTTGCCGCCAAGAAGTATTTCTTCTTAAATCAAAAATTTTGCTGGTGAATATAAGCTACTTTTTTGCTTAACCCAAGCATTATTTTTCTTGAATCAAGAAAAAGTCAGCTTAAAGCAAGATAAAGAAAATTCTTGGCGGCAAATTCAAGAATTATCATGCTTGATCCAAGCTACTTTTTTTTTCAGTGTGAAAGCAGTGAAAGGAACTAGTGTTGGGCTTACAATAAATTAGTGTGTGTCCACATTAATAGTTCAACCTCATTTACAAGAACCCTCTGCAGTCTAACGTTTAACGAAAGGTTTTTCAAATATCCCCGGTTTACAAGTACTCATGCTGATGAGGATTTGTGTATCAGTAAAACATTTGTAACAAAATTTTTGCCATTCCCTGTAGGAGGACTGTCAGTTATCTTCTGAACATTATCAGACCTGCGCACATGAAAGCGGAGCTATATTTTCAGTGAATTCAGGCTGGTCCGACAAGGAACTTTTCAGACTGAAAAATACTGGGAATTTGAATTGAAAAAGAATCAGCTTACTTAATTAAAGTTACATTGTAAAACCAGAATCATCATTTCATGGACAGACAATGCTTGCCACAAAATTTGATTTCTTGTCACGTAAGTAATTATAACAATGCCTAAGTACGTACATATTTACATGATTGAGAGTATTGTTGATTGAAGCTGTATCATCTGAAATTCAAATTCAAGAGTCCAAAAAGTGGAGATTTACAGTGTTGATTATGAGGCTTTCCACTTGCAAACAGAATTACCGAGTAGAAAAAAGCGGGCTTATTGGTTATTTCTGTATAATTATTAAGAGTGGTTAAAAATTGTGATGATAAAGAGCACATTTAAGAGGGCAAATGACTTGAAAGATTCCTTGTCGGTTGAAATTCACTTTTAAAGTGAGGTATATTTCATATAGAAGTTACCAATTTACTTACACCCCCTACAACAAAATACCAAATTCAACCATTTGACACAACACATGTTGAAGACAAAATGAACATTCCATCTTTTAAATTGCCGATTCACTCGAACTCGTATAGATTAGATATTGATCAATTTTGGCTTTGGGTAGTCTGCTGCAGTTATAAAACATTGAGAAACTTCAGCAGAGGATGGCTGATGTCACTGCATTTACATTAGCTACTTTCACACTAGAGCCTCCTTAACCCAGGTCTTATGTTCCGCACTTGCATCAAAGGATGGAAAATCTGTCAGCGTAATCGGTCACAATTCACAAAAATAACATGGGTTTTCAGTCCAAAACAAGATGGACAAGACCTCGTTTAAACTACAGAGGATTCGAGGGCCGATGTAATTGCAATGACCATATCTACAGAGCAGCAGTTCGAGCATTCTATTTGAATGCGTCATACATTATACCCATCATACTTTGAGACATAAGTCGATATCTGATCAGCGCTGGATTAGAATAACTTGCAGGCTCAATGAATGCGTTAAGGTGACACCCTTGATGCACCAATTCAAGACTTGCGCATAGTGTACTATGAGAGATCTCTAGGACAAGGATTAAAAGTACCAAAATTCCTCATCTTCTGAACAAAAAAAGCTAAGACAGAATTCAATCAGAAGAGTTTGTACAGCCGGTGGTTAGATGTATCATCTCTCGTAAACTACAAGGAAGACGGTAGAGTGACGACAAGGGACCTTCTCCTTAAAGGAGCCGAAGTTAAGTTCATCATTTGCCTTCATATCTCATGAAGAGACCGGTGGTAAATGCAATGACCCAAATGGGTTTAGGCAACAAAAGCATGCATTCTAAAACTGTATTGAAAGTATGATTGGTTGGTAGAGAAGCTAATTTTGGGTGGATGCACCCTAATGAAGTAGAGGGCTACCTGTTGCTGAGCCAGAAAATTTAAATGATTGATTACCTTGCAATTTCTTCTCCGTCTCCCAAAACTTTTGCAGCTCAGTGAAGTACTTGTCCAATATGAACACCTTGGATAACCCTAAAGTTGCCATTACACTTGTGAGTTTTCATTTACTGAAAAATGCACTTGACACCGAACCAAAACAACCGGAACCAAGGATTTGTGGGTTAAGCGCCAAACGAGGACAACTTTCTCACAACACCAAACACAATAATCACACGCGATAATACAGATAATTAGGTCGGAAAAACATTAGAAACGAAGGTGCTCCGTAGAGAGCCGATATCAATATTTACGACAACGAAAGTGGACGGCTTTTCCTTTTCCCGAAGAGGCGAGTCCTAACCTCTGTCGAAACAATCACACCACGATTTTGGAGCTGGGGAAGAGAAACCGAAAACCGAATGTTTACCACCGACAAACCGACGGAAGAGTAACGTAAAACGACGGTTGAAAAGCACTAATTACAAGGGAAAACAACAGAAAACTCGGCTCAAAGTAACCGAAAGAAAGTAAGCCGCAGCCGACACTCGTACGCTCTCGCGAGGCGCTCTCTCAAACAATAACAACATCGCTGGGTTCCCGCGGAGGTATTCCAGCCGGTCCCTCTTGATTGAAATGGACCCTTCCTATTGGCTGCAGACAGTCAATAAAACAGGTTCAGAGATTGCAGGTTTTATTGTATGCTCCCCCTGCCCGACAGTCAGGTGTTATTGTCTCGAATGAACTTTGCCTACAATGGACTGAAGTAGGACTGGGGGCTCTCAACACACACACAGGTATCACCGCCCCCCCTCAAACCAACGCAACCTTCCTTCGCCTGCGCCGTATCTCTCACTCCCTACCCTTCGCTCCCTTCTTCCTCACAGGTAATCTTTCCTTCTCCCAAAATTCCCGACTCTCTTACGATCAGGTTCCCTCTGATTATTTCATTTGTTATTCCGGGATTTTATGACAGAGATGAAAGAAAAAAAAATTCTACCTATTATAGCTTCAAATTTGTATTCAATTTAATTCTTTTTTTTTTTTTTTTTTTTTTTAAAAAAAATTAGGTGTGACAAATGATATTATTGAGGATTTCTAATTAGGAACATCCGCGAATTGAATTTAAAATTTTAAAGAAAGGGGAAAAACAGTGACTTACAAAATTATGGATAGACTTAGGTGTCCCCGAAAGATGGAATATAGATATAGCTAACAATAGTATAAATGGCCAATTTTAGAGAAGACGAAAAAATGATGTCATTCGAAGGCAGTGCTTTCGTGTTATCTCGCCCAATGACACCGAAGAAAAAAAAAGATACAAAAGAAGGGTGATTATTAATTTGCTTGGCTTGAAGCGGTAACACAAGATAGAGAATCAGGTGTAAGGATTTTTCCGTGGTCCGGAGACATGGTTTTGGAATGCGTATATAACAGAAAACTTGCGCGCCAAAACACATTTTAATCAATTTTTTTTAGAGATGCCGGACCTACTTATATTAAATTATTGAGCTTCATTTGCTAATCCTACACTACAACTAAATACTCTGTCTCCCTTCTTTCTTTGTGACAAGAAATAGTCTTGCAAGGTTTTTGATGCACGGAAAATTAGTGGAAATGTAAAATAGGTGCTTTTTAAGAATTAATCGCAGAGTTTGAAACACTAGTAGCCGAACGCTTTATCAGGTCAACAGCAATGCAAGCTTGTTAGTTACCAATCGAAGAGGAAAGTATTGAATGCAGCTATCTGGTTGCTCACAAAGTGCCTTCAAAACTGCATGATACCACCCAGCGTTTCCGGAACGTTAAAATAGTTACCTACCTCAGCGCTTACGTGCGTATCGAGGTCGACCTAGTCTTATTGTATCCAATTGTAAGTTCTCAACTGGCAAAATGTCTTTTTAAGTAGAAAGACGTATAATGTATATGAAAAAAGGAGTTTGAAAATCAGACGCAGGATATCTTGTTTATATAACGTGCTTTTTTTTCACTGTTCGCATGAAATTCTTCAGGTTTGCTGTTTGGTTCTTCTTTTTTTAATCCAAGCAGCTTCTTCGTCTTTGAATTGGAAGACGTAAACATAGTTGACATTCAGATATACCTACTGTTAACTTTCGGCCAAGAAAATGGAGGGACCAGCAGTCTTGCGATCTCAAAATCATGCCAAGCTCTTCGTCGGGCGACTCTCATTTTTCTACCCTTGCGTTTGAGTCTCCGACGGTGATGCCGACGCAACGCACAGTGGATCGAGTCAATAGGAGAGGTCGGACAAAATTTGGAAACTTTAAAACGCTTATAACTCCGTTTATACAAAATTTTAGGTTCTAATCGTGATTTCATTTGTTTCCTCTTGAAATTTCCTTCCAGAGGCATCCACTGAACTTGAAAATGTGACAAATAACCATCAAAATTCGAAGGTAGTTCTTGTCAACAATTTTATGCCCGACCTCTCTAATTGACTCGATCCATTATGCGACGGCTAAAAACCACTATCAAACTCTTAATTTTCAACTTTACTGAGACGATTTTGCAAATTTGGAGGATTATTTATGGAGTATTTACGCCTCGTGTTTTTTTATGTCACAGACAAATAAGTATACTATCCCGCTAGCGCTTAGAATTTAATGGCACCAAGTGATTTCTTTTCTTGCTTCTCATTTTCCTTCTCATCATCATTCGTCACTCTTTTCCCAAATTTCCTATTTATGTTTCCTATTTATACTGATTACCTTCTTTTCTGTTATCATATTTCATTTATATTCTTCCATTCTGTTACTTCTTATCGTAATTCCTTTTATTTTTATTAATCTTTCTTTCCTTCCTTGTTTTTTTCTTTTTTTCTTCTTCTTCTTTTCTTTAACTGCGCGCACTGCATAGAACTGAACATGGATTAGGAATCAAGAACCTGAATACATGTTTCCTCCGTAAAAATCTCGCATAGAGGACCATAAAAACATCGAAAATTTGAAAAGTCAACTCTGAAGGATGAAATCAGTGTTTTTTGAGTTCATCATATTCCTCTCGCAAAAAAAACCCTAAGTCTACTGCAATTAAATTGGTCACTAAACTAATATCAGAAACTACTTTTTCGGGGTGTTGAATTTTGGGAGAAATTAGATTTTCGTCAAACCAAACAGAGGTTCCTGCCAAGTTTTTACGTTCGTTGCTGGAGGTCATTTCGATCAAAGTTGATCATGCCCCCCCCCCTACCTCATCTAGTTTGCAAGCGAGAAGATCAGAGCACCAGATTTTCAAGTCAAAAATCAATGCTGATCTCTCTTGAGAGTTGACTCTAGGAAGTTTCAATATATTCAGTGTATTTTGCATGATCTTCGGATCAAAACTCTTGGTTTAACTTTTAGGATCTTTAATTCATCACCTTGTATAAGTGCGTGGTGATTCATTTAACCCCCAGACCAAAAAACAAGGGGAGGGGGTTCATAGCTTCGCAGAGGCTCCACACTCTCTTTCTCTAGAATTTCGAATCACCCCACTTTGTCAGGCAACATTCGCTACGGAAAGTTACCTCACAGTAGTGAGCCCGTGTAAGTAGGATAAGGCAGGGATACAGGGTCACGATGGAATGGAAACAGGAAGACCACGGAATATATCAGCTAGTGGTAGGGGCTCGACAGATGAATACCATCATTTGAATCCGATGTCTCCATAGATCGCAACAGGCGAGCTTATGAATTCTAAAAGCCCCTCTTTGAATTGGAACTGGGCGATTGTTCGCTGAACTTGACACAGCCCGTAGCATTCTCGCTATCGAACCCCGGTTATCCGCAGCTAAATGCTGATCCGCTTGCCCATTAACTATTTCAACAATGCAGAATGTTTGTGCAGGCAGCTAAACTAGTAAACTCTGCTGCATTCAGCTTGTTGCCAACTTACACTCTTCAATGTCGCGCAATGCCGTAAATCAAGAGGTCTTTTATTTTAGCTTTGACTTTCTCGCGGGTGACAAAGTAGGCAATGGATACTCGTATACCATATACTTACTTTATACAGTAAGAAATTGGAACACGAATACGGCAAAAAAGAGATATGTTTTTGATACACACACACTGGTACGCATCAAGTTGGTGTGGTCGGCTTGACTTTACTGTTATTCGCCTTGGTATAATTGGAAAACTTGGTCCACTTATGCGCTTATGCACTGCTACACCTGAACAATTGACATACGTGGCTAAATGAGTGATGGTAAGTTCAAGGGACTTTTATAATTTTACGTGTTTTCTGCCAGGATCAAATGTAATTTTATTTATTTATTTATTTTTTTGTTTGTGGGTGCAATCCATTTGCATGTGTGTAGAACAGATCGAAGTTTCTGCACAGAAGCTTACATTTTTCTCTCAAAAGCATGATTTTAATCATTCTGAGGCTGATTATAAAATACTTCAATGTAAGTCCTCTATTTGACCATTAAAATTTACGTGCTTGTAAAAATCAAGGGCGTTTGAATTTATAACTACTTTGACGTCGCAATGTGTGCGAGTGGTATAAAGTCAATTTTGAAGGCGTTTTGTAATCAATGCTAGTTTTGTCATTGTGCTTGGTTTGATCCGGAGCTCAATGCATTTAGGGAAAAGAGTTTAGTTATGGAAATATATATTTTTAAAAAAAAGGGGGGAGGGGAAATCAACAACATTTGAACGTATATTTCTGCCAAATGGAACCATGTGCATTAAGACATGAGCCCTGAGACCCATAAGAATACATGCTTAACAGGGCTCACGTCCCAATGCACATAGTTCCGTTTGATAGAAATACGTCCATTTGAGCTTTGCTATCGAAGCTTCCTCTCGATTCTACTGCAGCTATTGATTATTTTTTATTTTAATATTTGATCCTCCGTCTGTTCAACGATCGATATGGATGGCCCAACAACCAATTTAACGGCCTGAGAGACGGCGCAACTATAAGTTTTCAACGAGCCTCACTATCGACAAAATGAGTTATTTCCGTGAATGAAAAGTGTAAAGACTATTCGGATGCTTTTCAAGTTTGTAGACGTTTTGAAGTTTTCTGCGTTAAAGATACTTTCCATAAGGAGAAATTGCATATTGACCATTCGAATGTTGTGCAATTTCTTCTGATAAAATATTTATTTTCGACGCAAGTCATGAAAATGTTACCTATCAATTGTCAGAGAGTTTGTAATGAATTACTTGTTAAATTCGCTACAAAATTCAAAAGAAAATATTCACAAGTTTTCTGGAAAAAATCGTATTTTATCCGAAGAAATTCAATAACACCCGACTGATCATGCAGTGTTCTTTTTTGACACCTCAAAATTGCTGTCTTCACCTACTAACATGCCTCGATATCGATGAGAACGCCTGGATGCAACTATTTTAGCTCGAGGGATGTCTGTGTTGCATACTCACAAAATTGAAGGCGTTCCGGGTTTCAATGCTCGCGCTGTGACTTAAACGCGCGACAGTGCACTAATGCAGGTGGGCCGGACTTTCTTATCACTCACCAGGTGTTGTTGCGATGTGATTGGCAGATCGTAGGAGGAAAGGGTCAATTACTCTCGTATCGCAATTTGCCACTTACATTAC